AGTTTTATGTGAGCCGCCCTGAGTCCCCTCAGGGAAAAGGGCGGCCTACAAATTCTAATAAAACTATAAACTATAAACTATAAACAGCTTTTTCTATTTCTATAGGAAAAAATCCTAGATTGCTTTTATTTGAGATCTTATAGGATACCTCAGCATTTCTCAAATCTTTGTAAAATAATATGCAATAGAATATAAATAATGTTAAAGTGAATAAAACTAAAGCCAGCAAAATCAATAATGTTCAAATAAATATTTAATAAGAGACATTTTAGTCAGTTTTAAAATTAGAAAAGACATATTCTGAGAAATATCATTCCATAGATTAAGTGCCCCTGATCCTTGGAAATGACATTATATAGGTAATCCTTGAGTTATGACTGTTTAATAATGGTTCAAAGTTACAACAGTTTTGGAAAAACTGATATATGACATTTCCTTTGACTTGGAACCATTGCATCAGTCCTGTGGTTGCATGATCAGAATTTTAGTGCTTGACAGCCATCTTGCATTTCTTAGAGATTGCTGCCTCCTGTGCTAACGTATTTACAATTTGCTACCTTTTTGCTGATTCCTGGCCAAAAAAATGGCAACAGAGGCCATTAAAGAAGCTAGACTTGCTTAAACACTGCATGATTTGCTTAAAATCACCATAGAAATTGTCATACAATTGGATCTGACATATACTTACCCAATTAGTTACAACAGAAATTCCAGTCATAAGTCAAGGATTGCTGGTAGAAGATGAAAATAAATTGTCCAGAAATGTGAGTTTTAATTAGAATTTTATGTGTTTCGGTTAAAGCCTCTCTTTTCAGAGATAATCTGATTGATACACAATCATGCACATACATACTTCCTAGGTCACATGGTTGCAGCAAGGGTTAAAAAGTGCTGGATCTAAGAAGGTCAAGTTACAGAAGGATCTTGACAGACTTGAACATTGGGCATTATCTAACAAAATGAAATTCAATGATGAAAAAAGTAAGGTTCTACATTTAGGCAAGAAAAACCAAATGCACAGGTATAGCATAGCTGGTACCTGACTCAATATTAGTAACTGTGAGAAGGATCTTGGAGTCCCAGTGGACAATCACTTAAATATGAGCCAGAGTGTGCTACAGCTGACAAAAAAGCCAACACAGTTCTAGGCTGCATTAATCAAGATCACGTGAAGTGTTAATACTACTTTATAATGCCTTGGTAAAATCAACTTGGAATACTGCATCCAGTTTTGGGTGCCGCAATGTAAAAAGATGTGGAGCCCCTAGAAAAAGTGTAGAGCAGAGCAACAAAGATGATTAGGTGATGGAGGCTAAAACATATTAAGAACTGTTGATGGAATTGGGTATGTCTAATTTAATGAAAAGGACTAGAGGTGACATTATAGCAGTGTTCCAATATCTCAGGGGTAGCCAGAAAGAAGAGGGGAGTCAAGCTATTCTCCAAAGCATCTGTGGGCAGGACAAGAAGCAATGGATGAAAATTAATCAAGGAGAGAAGCAACTTAGAACTGAGGAGAAACTTCCTGACAGTTAGAA